GCCAGAACAGAAACTAGCTGTGGAACTGTGGTTACTGCATTTGAAGACTTTAAATAATATACTCTCTATTTACCATCAAGCAGGCTCCTGAGCATTCATGGCGTGTTCTCAAATCTTGCTTCCAGGGAAGCAGGGAGGATCCTGTTCTTTGTGGCACCTATAACAGTGACAGCACTAGAGAAGCCTGCTCTCCCATAACTGTGCAAAGGCCAGTAAAATAATATGGAGACAAACAGTGGAGTCAGGAATCACACCTACATGCAGCAGTGCAAAGAAATCTAGAAAATAATATTGAAAGAATTAAAATGCAGAATGAACAAGCTAAAACGTTCCCATTTTAGCACAAAAATATACATACATGGGGTTGGAGTGAAGAGCAGTGTAGAGCACATATAGAGTGTGCTTATTCATATCTAGGGTCTACAGCCAGCATATAAAATGTACATGAAGCCATGGGGTATAATCTAATCATGATGATAAGTGGTACAATATGGAAATAAAATACACCTGCAACAGGATTCTCAAGCACAGCACTAGTGATATTTAGGCCCAAGATTTCCTTCTAAAAAAGTCTGCCCCATTTTTTTCTATGACATTATTCAACATCCTTGATCTCCACTCTCAAGATATTTCTAAATCTTTCTCATGATCTATATTATGATTAAAAGTAAAAAAGTTGAGACACATTCCAGGGTTTTTCATGTGCAGAATTACTATTGCTGGAAAGGACTCACAGAAGATGCAGTGGACACAGATCTCAAATGACAAGGTACAAAAATAGGCAAAGACCCCCAAGAGCTTCCAAATTGCTACCGCTGCACTTCAAGTTCAGAAAGTCTTTCCAAAGTACTCTGCTATTATCCTTGCGACCCTTTCCTTGTCCTTAAAATCTGTGATACATTTCAGATGTCAGTGTGAAAAGCTAGAACAGCCTCCACAGTTTCATGCTTCAAGATGACACCCACAGGAAGCTACCAACAGACTAAACTGTGCCTTGAACTGAAGCTGGTGCTGAATCTCAGCTATGGCATAGGCCATTCTCATGGCAATCTGCAGTACAGCCACACAGAATTCACAGGCCAAGAGAACTCAAATTCCCCAAGAGAGGAATTTCAGGGATTGCAGGCTCTTTTGATTTATGGGACATGTAACAATGGTTCATGGTATTCTCTTTTCCCACAGAGATATGTATCACTGTCAAGGGGAAAGAGCCTTGGAATTCATAGTACTGGACAGACATGCATCTAGCCCATTAATGTTACAGATTAAATGAAGTGGGCTTCTATGAGAAGGCAAACTGGCATGGCAAGGCAGTTTACTCAAGACAAAACAGTTAGAAAGTTTCCCAAAACCAGCATGAATTAGAACTACAAATGGAAGTGCTTCATCTTCAGCCAGACACATGGTTGGTGGTTTGTGTTCAAAATGCTCATGCTCAGTCTGATCATTGAAAATCTCTACCCTATCCCCTTGTTAGGGTCATGCAAACCAGACACTGTGAACAAAGTAGGGACATTTCATAAGGATCATCATCATCCAAACTAGTCAAAGCAAAAGAAGAAACACAAAATTCATAGTGTTCCTTTTCCAAATACTATTCATGTAATTCTCCTGATTCAGTTGTTTTGGAAAACCTGACTAATACAGCACTCAAAAGAAGAAACATAAGTTAAGTAACATGTTCTATAGAGAACTTTAAGACAATTTCAAGGTATTCTAGTGACATTGCTGAAGTTAGCAAAAATATACTCAACTTAAAGGAAGTTCAAAAAGAAATGTGTTGAAAGTGCACAGAATATACCTACTCAAGTCAACATTACTTGTACACCTTGGAACTTTTAAACCTGCTCAACAATTTGCTTAATTTGTGTTTGGGGAAATATATATATATAACATTTTCCAAATTTCATAATGAATTACTAATATCTCTTGAACTTTACTGAAAGTAGTCCACTGTAATCACTAATTGCTCAGCACCAATGTCCTGCTGCTGACAGAGCAGTGATTCATGATTGCTGTCCTCCATCATGCACAAGTACTGTACCACATATCACTAGTGCACAAAATGAATAGAAAAATATAAAATAAAAAGTAAAAAAATAAATAGAAAAGATTTCCACTACAATGTTTTACTGTATTTTTGAGAAGATTTTTTTACAGGGCCCAGGGAATGTTAAAATTACTGTTCACTAGAGATAAATCCTAGAATTTAGATTTTATATTGAAAGAGTCCCAATTCTTTAGGCCATTGTTATAAGACTTCTGGTTTCAGTTCCTCAAGCAACTGAGAATAAAGACTTGAAGTATTATACCTCACCAATATTTACTTTACCCAAGCATTTAAATCTTGGTACATCACAATAGATATAAACACCCCAACCTTAAACCTGCATGGTGACACATATGTATTATCCCCACAGTCAGAGACTTAAAAACACTATTAAAAATTCACACCTCCTGGAGGGCAACTTAGTAAGTCCTGGCCTCCAAGATTTTAGAAAATTAAAAACTTAGCTCAGAGCAAAACTCCAGAGTTCAGTCCCTGTACACACACACACACAGCACGCTGAGTGTGGTGCTGTATACCTATGGTACCAGCTCTTGGGATGCTGAGGCAAGATGACTGCCATGAGTTAGAGGCCTGCCTGCATTACAAAGTGAGATCCTGTCTCAAAAATTAATAAACAAACTAAAATTATCAAGAACACCTGGAAATCTCTGATCTATTGGGGATACCCCCATCATTCTACTTCAGCTATGGTGTCCACATTAATTTTAAATCTAAAACTAAGCCAGATACTTTACTAATTTCAGATTTTGCCTTGAAAATCATTAGATGAACTTATCAGTGGTAGCAGAAGGCATAGTTACCTATTATTAAGCTCCCATCTTTTCTTTAAATCTGTGACCTTTGCCCAATTCACAGAGCAAGCAAGCACACAAGTCTTCCTTCATGCTTACCCTCAGGACAATCTGAGTTTCAGAATCTTCTATATTTTAGACACTACTATTGGCTAAACAAAAACCCTTAATTACTAACCATTAATACGCTGCACAACTACTATTTCCAGCTTCTCCCCTGCTCTAGTACTCCTTGGAAACTAACACAAGCAGCTTTTTTCTATTTAAAAATATGAACAATTAGGCCAAGAACTATAGCCCTTAATACAGAGATGATGTCCTGGCTGCTTTCCACTCCTACACATATCACAAATGTATGCCCAGGTAAATACCCCAATTCAACGTTTCTCTCAATGTATGCTTAATAGACAGCCCCGTCTGGAAGTTTTCTCTGCAAGGTACACTTTCCATTTCTTTGCTAAGGCTTTACCACCCACTATGTTTTCCTTGGCATTCTAACTCTGTGGCAATATCATTTGAACTGTCTAATTGTGAGTGGACCTATCATCTAAATAAATTTTTAAATTTTTTTTTGCATTGCTCTGCATGGAACTCAGGAGTCCCCTGGGATTTTGGCAGGTGTTCCTCCACTGGAACACATCACCACACTGTTATCAATTCTCAGCTTCTTAATACCTAACATGGTTCTAGAAATGTAGGAAGGTAGTGTAAATTTAGAGGATCACTACAAAGATTAAAAAGCAAAAATTTGAGGTGGAATTGTGAGTATGAATTCCTGCAACACAGATATTTATAACTTTCAGATCTTTCAGCTGTGCTGCTGATAGAAATGAAACCAGGGACCTAGTTCATCACCACCGCATCCACCTACAGTTTGCATCTTGGATCTTCCTGAGGCCCCTGTTCTGCTCAGAATGGTGCACATGCAAATGTAGCAGTGGGTTTCTCAAGAGGGCACTCAGGCTGTCAGTGTCATAGCGGACAAAATGTCCTGAGAACTTAGTACTGGCCTTGCGCTAGCGATGTTATAGGCAGCTGAGTTAAGTAGAAATATTATATGCAGTCAGAGAGGGCTAGGCCCTCAGTGGAGCCAGTGCAAAAGACCAGACACCTTGCAACTATGGGGGTAACAATCACCCCTCTCTGTGGTCCAGGTCTCAAGACAAATGAGAAAACAAACAAAACCACAATTTCAGTGTAAACATCAGGGATTAATAGTCTCAACAGATATTCATCACCTTGAGGAAGCCAGAAGAAGCACTAATCCGTCTCCTTAGGGCAAAGAACCTGCTCCTCCATGCTACTGTCCCTCTTGGATCCCAATTTAATCATTTACCTGAGCAAATAACTCATAATCTTGACTGACCACAATTTTGTCCTACCTCATCCCTCTGCACTGTGAGTTTCCATTTTTGCCCACTTTGGACCCCCCTCAACTTGTGGTTTTGTTCTGTAAAAATCCCTAGAAAACCAGGGACCTAGGAAACCCATGGAGGGCCCATTCTCTCTGTCTTTTTATTTCTGGATTCCATCTTTCTCGATGTCTCCCTCTCTCTTTCAGACACGGTAGATTCCTCCAGCGTGGGGCTTAGCTATGCCTAACAAGACCTTTTTCCAACTTGGAACTGGGCTCACAGAAGCAACTTGTCTCTCCAAGAGTATCACCTATGCTTCTTTGTCTCTATCGTGCTAAAATCTTACTAGGACACAGCTTTCTTTCTATCAATAAATATATAGATCTCTCTTAATCTCCAGTGACCCTAAAATTCATTCTTTGATTTTAGAGAACACAAACTCACACCGGACATTTAGTAGGTTGTGAGGGTTTTTTTTTTTTTTTTTTTCCCCCTTTATATCAGCAAAGGTCAAAACGAACAAGGAATGGCTCAACTCACATCTGAAACTACATCAGGATCCGGAGCTACGGGGGGGGGGGGGAGCCTAGTCACTACAGTTAGGGTTTTTTTTTCTCCCCTTTGGTACCAGGATTCAAACTCGCGGTGTCACACTTTTCAGACAAGCGCTGTGTCTCTGAGCTACATCCCGGCCCCTAGGCCACCATACATAGTTCAGACCAATTCTAACATGACATCTTCCAGATCCCACTCCATTTCAGAGCTCCCGTCGCACAGCGTTACCATTATGCAGCTTGAAGGTCTCCTAGAGTCTTTTCTATGCAGCCTATAGCTTGTATAAATCACAGAAAGGAGCCGATCCAGCTGGAGTGCTCTCAGTAACAAGCTCCAGGCACTTTGACGCCATGACACCGGAAGAACACGCCCTCTTGGCCTTTTCTGATTGGACAGTTTATACAGTTGGCTTCCTTTTCATTGATTGACTTCTGCAGTATTGCCCGCCCTCTGAGCCAGCGGCAAAAGAAAAACAAACAAAACCTGCAAGAGTGCAGCCCAGGTGCAAGACTGTAATGCAGAGACTTCTGGACCAGGTTCTCTTATAAAATGTTAATCTCATCTCGCCTGCATAATAGTACTTGCATTTAAAGGCTTTACCCGGAGGTCTCAGAATTAACCCAATTTTCTTATAAGACTCGACTCTAACTAAAAATGGGCCACGAATGTGTTAAAGAGGTTCCAGGGTCAGTATTCTAATAAAGACTCAATAGTCTTATGTCAGAAAACAACCTGGGTCCAGGCCAGCCCAGGACACAATGCAATAGAGGGAGAACTGGCTATTTGAGAGATCAGTATCCAAGAATGAGGAATCTGGCTTCAGTCTGAAGATTTTCACATTATGTCTATCAATCTATTAATTTTTCAGCTATGAAAATGAATTTCTGTCCCTCAAAAGGAACACAAAGCATTATAGTTAACATTAAAATTTTCTGCAGATATTCATGGCTTTAATAAAAGCCACCTAGTGCTTAGATAGTTCAGAAGTTCAAACTTTATTGTTATTAGAATAAATACCACGGATTTCCAGAAAAAATTGCATGTTTCAGATTATATACTCTATATAGTTTTAAAATTATTAGTTGTCATTCGTTTTTACATCCATGGGACAAAAGATGCAAAACCTAAAATTTAACGAATGAGAAGTTTTATTTGTCTCCCAGTATCAGCCACATGGTCTACTAATTGCAAGGCAGAAATACAATGGCAGAGTCACATGGTGAAGAAAAATGTTCTCCAAAGGTGCCAGCTGGAAAGCCGAAAAAGATAGGTAAGCTGCCGACAGAACACGTTTCCAGAACTTGCTTCAAGTGGCTCATGTGTAACAGGACCCATCCTCCTCACAGCATTTTCATACACTGAAATCATCAATAGATTAATGATGAATACTGATTCCACACAATGCAGTCAACTTTGAAACTTACAAAACATTTCAGATAAAACCATGACACTGATGTTGGAAGGAATAACAAGACATGCAACAGCACAGAAACCTCACACAGGATCCAGGACACTCCCCTTGACTCTGCGTATGTGCTTCACAGTATGGTGAGGAGTGAATTTAGGATTAGTGTTAGGCTCAAGCATTGAGATGCCAAAGGTCAGTCTCTGGCCATGGTGGTTACCTCAACTTGACAGTATACTTATGTCCTGGAAGCAATCTCAGTCCAAAGTACAGGGCCAAAAGAAACAAATGGGTACCACTACAGTTTCACCTAGGACCAAATATTCCAACTGATGCCGATAGAACTAGTTCCTGACAAGGATGTTTCTGTTCACTTTCAACCATGAATCATGTCTTAACCACAACCCCCACTCTGATCTTGGATCATTGGGCAGTGCACAAGCATTATTTTTGGACTAATTCTCTCCCAGTGTTTTTCCCATGCAGGCACTGTCATTAGATCCCACAAACAAGTCAAGTTTAGCAGGTAGGAAGGCACTCAGCAACACACTGGGAGCTTCTGCCTTGGATGTCTGACAGAGGAGAACCCACTTCTCTGGCCAGTGTATGTGACTGGATGATTCACGTAATACAAACTCTTCTTCACTGATGACAGGCTGCTCAGTTTCGTGTACGATGACTCAATAGGCACAAGAGTAACAGTGTACTACCTGCATGTATGACATTGAAATACTACACTCTAATCAAATTCTTCTCTGTCTAGTCTCACTCCATCTTTGATCACTTCTTTCCTTGATGTGTCCATCACCAGCCTGAAGGATTACAGCCCTGAAGCAGGATTTACTTCTAGCCTTTTAAAGCTGCTTGTATCTTCTTACTGTTCCCAGTGGGACCTTCCTATTTTTTGTTCCTAAAAATTTGATCCTGAAATTACTCCAGAATTTCTAAATTCAAAGCCACATGGAAAAAATCCACAGACCCAATAATGTGTCTCCAGGCAAGAGTAGGACAAGATGGAATAGAAGGAAAGCACTAATTCTTTTTAAAAGAAGAGAGGCATTCTTAAATTAAAATCCATGAAATAAAATTCCAATAGCTTTGGAACTGAACAATGTGTATACAAAATAAAAATTTTGAGGGTTTTTAAAGTGCTTTTTAATGTGTAACTCAACAATTTTCTATTTTAAAATGATAGTATAAGTCAAAAATAAAAACTATAATGCAGAAATTCAGAACATGATAACAAGAAATTAACAATGGCTAATATATTGTGATTTGTTGGGAAGACCCAATATTTATAAAAGGTGGCTTCCTAGCACAGATTTTCTCAAAGCCTATCTCTCCATCTAGACATTTTCAGCCAAGGAAAGAAAACCATGTGAGAAAGAGAATATAATTCTCCAATAAGTGAAAAATTCATGTATAATATGATAACAGTACCATGCAAAGAAACCAATGTGAAAGGAAATAAAATATCTTGGCTACCACAGACAGGCAAGTTCTATATCCAGAGTCATGAAGAAAGTCAGAATTCTGAAGACTAATTGTATGAGGAGGGCCAGAATGAGAGGCATAGTGTAGCTCCATCTTTGTTCTCTTATCAATGATGAGGCACAAAAACCTACCAACTCAAGAGTAATTCTTCTGTAGTATACTACCCTTTCCTCATTGGTTGAAAAATGTTCTCTTGCAATGTGTTAATTTCACCACTGTAAAGTTATCACCTTGAATCACTGCATTTAGCCTTATTGTGAAGTGCATTAGCTTCACAGATGCCTAGGACATTTAGTAATGCCCATGTCTGAGTGGATCTGGTTGAGACAGAGAGGCATGACCATAGATATTACATCCAGTCTCCAGTTCCTTTTTCTCAGTCACTTTATCCTGAAGAATTCCCATTGGAATTCTGAAAAATGGCTACTGGGAAGCCAAATTTACTGGAGACCAAAAACCAAAAGAAGTGGCCAAAACCATAGTTTCTTCATGGGGGAAAATACCTCTATATTGCTTTTTATTCTACATAGAATACAAGTTTATTGGGTGATACTAACCACATAGGACATTCTCCTTTTGTTTGTGGCTGAATCACACACTATTGTGAGAACACAAACTCTTGTAAGTAGAAGTAGGACACAAATCATTAAGGTGACAAAATTTTGGGTTGCTGACTATGGGATGTAGGAAGAGTTCACTGAATACTTTGCAAAAGCACCCCACGGAATCAGGACACCTGTGATGTTAAAACTATCTTTGAATTCTCATGGCCCTTTCATAAATTTGCCAATGTGGGGAAACACTGGAAACTTGAAAATTCAACAGGAGTATAAAAAGGCAGAGTTCTGAGATGAGTTGTGGGTGGAAGATCCTGCACTGTAGACATTTATAAATGTCAGAACTTCCAGGTCTGCTGCTGAAAGGAAGCAGAGCAGGGTTATAAACACAACACAGATACACCCAGCTTCTACAGCCACCTGAGTTGAAGTCAGTACAGCCAAACTTCCTAGACTGACATAGATGAGGCTGTGCCTGGCACCACCCAAAATTGCATGGTGCATTGATAGTGTCAAACTGGAACAGTATGCAGGAAACTGAACTAACACTGACACAGAAAAAGGAAAAGAAGACAGAAGCACCAAAGACCAGGAGAACCTCAGATTCTGAACCTAAGAAAGGAGGCTGCATATCCCTGTAGGTAGTTCCGGTCACTTCCTATCAGGCCTCATCCCAATTCAGTACCATCCACTTTTTCTGTCACACAACATAACTTCTGCATGACCAGGGTCTCCTAGAGTCCTCTCCAAGAAGCCCACACTCAGCAGAAGTCACAGAAAGCTGTCTCCAGGGATAAGGGTGACTCCCAGCAATGTGCTAAGGGTGTGCTGCCAACATAGCAGGAAAAACCTTCCTACTTTGGCACACCTGCGTGGACAATTCATGCAGCCTGACTCTTCATTCCTGATTGATGCTGTTGTACTCTACTCAAAAAACAGGGCCCCATGATGAAACATGGGGCAAAACCCCAAGATGACAAATGGGGCAAGATGTCTTTTTTAAAAGAAGCGCTTTTATTTTAGCTGGCCCAGTGACACAGTGCAGATGGAATTTGCAAAGCTGTGCAACTGAGTTAGAGTTTTGACTGATTTTTATAGTTCATTTATGATTAGCTCATTGATCATTAAGTACATAGTGATGAGAAACAGAAATAAGGTGGGCCTTTGTTCCCCTTTGCTTGAGGTAAGAGGCATTTCACAGTGGGTGGTTAGCCAATTCATAGCCCTTGGTCTGCCAATTCCAGGAACATTTGTCTCTCATAAAGGGAACAATGTTTGACACAGCATCATTTGTCTCTTTCAAGGGGAACAAAAGTTGACAGCACACAGGTCACTAAGATGGGGGGGGATGACACGTTACAGAACAGCAGAATGATGCGGTCAGTTAATTTATAACTATGTGGTTGGTGCTTGGTTACTAGGGTAATGAGCTCAGTACAGAATGACAATTTTACTAATAACTATCTTTTTAAGTAACTATTTTTGTTAATTATCTTTTGATCAATTATTTTAATTTTTAGCATCTTAGTATAACAGACGCCAGCTCCATTGCTCTCCTTCAGAGACAATTATACTACATTCAATTAATTTAGAATGTAGAGAAACATAACTATAGCAGAAAGGGTGCAAGGATGTCTTTCAGAATGGCCCTATTATATATGAAATAGAAACAAATTAGTTTTCTTGATATGAAAACTAACAGCTGGTTTTTAATTTAATTTATAAATCCCCTTCCTGTTGGATTTAGCAACCCACACCTATAATAACACAATTCTGGGCTTTACCCTGTGGTCTCAGAGTTGACCCTATTTTCTTATAGGGCTCAGTGGAGACTCTTCTTGAGCATGGGTCATAAATGTGTTTTCTTCCAGTATGCTGTTCTGTAATTCTAATTTTAGGTAACCCAATT